TCCAACGCAAAGTCTTTTCAGAAATAAATCGTTAAATGTTAAAATCATTATTTATATTTTGATCTTTTGTGTCTCTTGTAAATATATGTTCGGACCCTTGTCAGATAGCTTCAGAGAGGCTGTCTGACAGCAAGTTTTATCGAGGACAGCTTGCTGACAGTGGTTTCATCGACAGTGTAAATTTTAATTAAAATAGGCCCTACACTAGTCAACAGCTAAATCGTATTATTTTTTCTCTGGACAAATTCAAAAATAAAATGTAATTCCAGCTAAACACTAAATTCGCCTACCTAGGAACAGCGGCGGCGCCAGCGGGTTCAATCAATCAATCAATCAATCAAAAACTTTATTTATTCTCGAAATTGCAAGTACAGTAACATATACATAAACAAGCACAATAAAACATTACAAAAGACTTGTTCGATCAATAAAATATTATAAACAGATCGTTTTTCAACAAGTTCGAGCGCGATAAGAATAATATAAAAGCATGCATAAAGTTAAAAGTTTTGCCTAAATTAATTAGGTTTAAAGTTTAAAAGTTTGTTAAAATTGAAAAAAAAAAATATAAAAAAAAAACGCATGTTAGAATTGAATAGTAGTAAATTGCATTATTATAATGATTGCATGAGACGACATTAATTAAGGCTTAGTATTAGTTAGCTTTTCTTTGACTTTTCTTTTGAATTGATTAAATGACATAAAGGGATTTATTTCATCTCTGTTTAAATTATTCCACAAAACAGGGCCCTTGTAAGATATGCTGTTTCTTTTGTATTCAGTATTCGGTTTTGGAACGTACATATTAAGGTTACCATGTCGAAAATTATAATTAGGTGTGTTGTACTGTATTAAATGTGATAAATAAAGTGGTACGCGATCTTTTAGAAGTTTCGATTTTTTATTGTTAATTTCAGTAATTTGAGTTCGTTCAGATAAATAGCTTTTAAGCCAGTTTATTGCGAATTTGCCAAGGCCGTACAATTTTAATTTTTGTAAAAGAATATTATGGTTTACTGTGTCGAATGCTTTTTTGAAATCTAAAAGGCATAATCCTACCATCTTACCTTCATCAATGCAACTGTGCCATTGTTCAGTGGCATTGATGAGTGCAGTGGACGTTGAGTATGACGGCCTAAAGCCTGATTGAGTGACATAAAGAAATTTATTTTCATTTAAATATGTGTAAAGTTGATCATGCGTGGCTTTTTCGATAATTTTTGATATTACAGGAAGGACTGATATGGGTCGATAATTGCCTGGATTTGAGGTGTCTCCTTCTTTGAATAGTGGGAGAACTTTAGCAATTTTCCAATTTCCTGGGAAGGAACACGTTGTAAAAGAATGATTGATTAAATATGCAATTATAGGAGATGCAATTTTAAGCATTATTGCGGGGATTTCATCATATCCCGTTGCCTTGTTCGTTGGAAGACTATTTAAGTAATTGGAAACAAACTCAATTGAGATGTGTTGGAAATCAAAGGTTTTAACTGTATATTTTTCATAGTCTTCAGAATAGTCAATTGTTCCATGACTTACAGACTCTTCAAATTATTTCGCGAGAGTCGGACCAATTTCAGAAAAAATATTTATTGATTGCATTAGCTATGTCATAATTAGTTGTATAAGTATTTCCATCATCTTTGATTTCCTTTATACATTGTTTACGCTTGTTGTTAGGAATGACATTTCTGATAGTCTTCCAAGTTTTTCTCATATCGTTATTACTTTCCATTATGCCATTTTTTACATGATCAACTTTATTTTTACGAATACATTTATTACATTCATTTCTACACTTTTTAAACTCATTCCAAATAGTTTAGTCTTTAGTTTTATTATACTGAGCCTTTAATTTATCACGCTTACGCATCAAGACAATATTGTCGTCAGTGAGCCATGGTGCTGCTGTTTTGCGTACCCTTCGTTTTTTTAGAGGAGCGTTTTTGTTAATTATACTCACAAAAATGTTTTCAAAACGTTTTGCGCTATCACTAACCTCACCATTGGTTAATATAATATTCCAGTCAACTGATGAGAGGTCAGATAGAAAAGTGCTTTCATTGAATTTTTTAAAACATCTTGTAGTTTTATATCGGTGTTTTTGAGGGTTTCCTTTATTATTATTATTTCTATTATTCATATTTCTATATTTTGTTTTTTTACCCAAAATAACATACGTCATTGAATGATTGCTCATTCCAACATGAATGACACCACTATCTGACATCTTTACTGGATTACTAAGTACCATAATGTCAATTAATACATGTATACATTAAGCATTATTTCAGTGAATTTGGTATTATATTAAATCATTAAAAGCAGGCCTGACTAGGCATTAAAACTTAATGTATACAACGAAGCCTTGAAAGAAATTAAAGTTATTGTGTTCTGGTTTAACATAATGGTTCGCTTATTCATTTTATGGATACTGTTTCTGTTTAGCAGGCCAGCATACTCCCATGTTTCGCAAGTCGTCCTGCATACTCCAATTTCAACGCTATCATTATTTGAAGTATTTTAAGCCATTACTGCTTTTATGATTTGTGTAATAAACTTGTCCATAGGCGTAGATCCCGGGGGATGGGGGATATATCTCCCAATATTTGACAAGGCGGGGGGGGGGGGATGGTCCATTGTATCACCCCCCCCCCCAATATTTTGACTATNGATAAAATGGAGCTTTACACACTTCAAAAGACTGTCACAGAAATAATTTGCACTGTCTTATGCGCTTACAAAGATGAAAATTAGCATAATGTATTAATGTTGATAACAAAATTATTTTATCTGGTAGCAATCTAAGCTCTTCTTTCCTTAGATGTTAGATGTGCTTGCAAAGAGAGCCACATTTCACACTGAAGGGTGTGACGACATCAGTAATGTTATATCAATTCCAAGAATGTTTAAGGTTATATCGGTTGACACATCTAGATGTGTATAAGAGACAGCTCTTGTATGTGGGTAATCCATTTCCATTTGACATTATGTCCGACCTCCGTTATATATTTACAAAGTAGTTTTTGCCATCTACTATCATCCATATTTTTTAGCCTATTGAAATAATTCATTCTAAATCTGTTTTATGTGCGAACAATAGATTCCCATCCTAAATCACCAAGAAGAGCTTCTTTTGCTACATTTCTTGGAGCCTTTAGTATCCAATTCTCGATTATATAATAACACATTTCGTATTGTATATTTGTAATACGTCGTATCATTTTAAAGTATATTGTACATTTATATTTTTCCTTGCAGTAAAGTCACACTCTTGTATCCTGTCTTTGTTTGTATCTTAATTTGTACCAATTTAAAAAATTGCCTTTTGTTTTATTTATTAGTCTCTTATGAGTGTGGGATTCGAACTTTGAAATGAACGTCTGGATGTAAAATATTCATCCTGTGCGCTATATCTGTATGGTAATTGGTTGGGCACGTCAGGTTTGAATGCTGGAATCCATAAGTTAACAATAGTACGTTAGTGCCATAGAATGGTAAACCGAGTTAAGGTAGATGTATATTTTGTTCAGTAATGCATTTGTTTGATCATGTAATGAATTGGTATTAGTATAGTATTTACCAATAATTATATAATCCAAAAATATATATGTTGATATTAATAATTATATTTGTTATAGCCGATGAAGTTGTGATAATGTATAGACTATTGCATTGTTCGTGGTGTGGCACCGGACGCCAACCCGGTACTTCTGAGTCAAGGTTTGGGGCTGTCACAACTTTTATATTAAATACAAACCTAACTAAACAATGGTAAAAACTATCCCCCGCCGGACACCATCCTGGTACTTCTGAGTCCAAGTTTCGTGGCTGGGATTAAATGTTAAAAGTATAGACCAAGAAAATATAAAAGGAAATGAATTGTGATAATCAGAAAAAGTGTTAAATTTTGAATAAATTAAGAGATTGACATTCTTGAATTGTGATTGTGATTTTGTTCCAAACTTTTGCTCCAGAGATTTTTAAAGAGCCATTCATTACAGAGCAATTTGAAATGGGGGGGGGGGGGGAGATAACATTAAGCGAGTGAGCGTATCTCGTAGAATATCCATGTCGGTTAACACCCATTTCTAGATCATTGCATAGGCGGGAAGGCGCAACACCATTTATACATTTGTACATTAAACATGCAAGGGTGTAATACGTTCATCAAAAAAGTTTCCAATTATTTTACTTCATAAGATTAATTCCACGAAAATTTATAAAATCTAAATTATTTTTAACTATTCTCTATAGCAGCTCGTTTTGTAGCCTTAATAGAATGTTTTTGTTAGACGTACCGGTAGTTCCCCACACTGAGATTGAATAGTCCATACAGGGTTGTATTGTACTTATATAAAGAATATTTAGAAAAGATTCATTTAGTGTTTCTGCCAATTTATTTAGGATGTTAATTTTTTACCCAATAGTTTTATTTAATTTTCGAATATGGTCATTCCAGGTAAGGTTTACATCAATTTCAAAAGTCCTAAATAACGGATGTTTTTTTTTTTACATCATCAATGGTTTCATTATCAACATGAATATTCAAAGAGGAAAGAGGGCGAACATTTCTATTTTTAATTAACATAAGTTTGGTTTTGCTAGAATTTACAAGTAATTTATTAAATTTATACCAATTTTCGACATTATTCATTATTGATTGTAATTTGATATTGATATTTTCTACTGATTTGTCAGTAGTGTAGATGTCGACATCATCCGCATATATGCTACATGATCTTGGAGATACATATTGTGGAAGGTCATTAATAGATAATGAAAATAAGATCGGTCATAACACACTACATTGTGGGATGCCAATTTCAACATTTGCTTTTTCAGATAATTTATTATGACATTTGACTACTTGTTTGCGCTGTGAAAGCTAACTTTTAAACCATTTGATTTCAGTGTCTTTAATGCCATAATTTTGGAATTTAGTTAGGAGAAGAGTCAGTGGCGTTTAAAAATATTTTTCATTGGGGGGATAATTGGCGTGTTAGCCAGTGTCGTAAAAGGCGCGGGTGGGGAGGGGGTGGTGGGGGCAGGTGGAAAAACTGCCCCTCCCCTGACGGTTTTTACCGGGCTGACCAAGTCGTCGTACTGGGCTGGGTAATAAGAGGAGAGACGGAGGGAAATAGAAAGAAGAGTAAAAGAAAAGGAAAGAAAAGAGAAGAGAAAAAGAATAAAAAGGAAGATATCATAATGACCAGACTCACAACACCCATGCAAACCCTTCTCCACTTCAAAAACTGTCATAACCCCTTTGATCTATGCTGCCCGATGGCGTAACCACTGGGGGACAAGGAGAAAATATCTATCTTTTAAAAATCTTCCCCACCCCTTTATAAATGCCCTTTCATCCCCTGAAAGTGCCTAAAAACCTCAAATTTCGCGCGCATTTCTTGTTAACATGGCCCAATTTCCTCTAAAAATTTAGGGAGTTTTGATCAATTCCAACAAAATTAGAATTAAAAACACCGAGGGACAAGGGTAAAATATCCATCTTTCGAAAATCTTTCTCCACCCCTTGACAAATTCATCCTCTGAAAGTGCCTAAAATTCTCAAATTCTTTGCGCGCATTTCTCGTTACGGTGGGCCAATTTCCTCTGTAAATTGCACATTTTAGGGAGTTTTCATCAATTCCGATGAAATTGAAATTAAAAACACAAAAATATTTTGCGCGCTTGGCGCGCATTTTTAAGGGCTTTTTTAGTTTTATCGGATCCTTTTAAGTTATTTAAACACATAATAGTCACAAACTCAAGAAAGACAAATTTAAGATAGATCATTTTAACCTAAAAGAAGGGCCTCAATGTGTATAGATGGTGAAAGAATATGTTTGTAATAAATAAAAACCATGATGAAAATGCTTATATTTAGTTTCAAACACACGTGTGTGGCCTATATTATAATTAAGATAAGCTCTATGTCGTATTGTTTTCTATATGGGGAGTGGGGTGGGGTGGGTATGGTAAATTACTAACCGGGAAATGAGGATTGTATGTTATTATTAATATTATTATTATTATTATTATTATTATTATTATTATTATTATTATTATTATTATTATTGTTATTATTATGTTGTAATGATGTTGTTTGTACTGTTCTTTAATTTTATTAAAGAGGGCCCCTGAACATCAGTTAACCTACTGGGCTAAACTAGAAGGGTTACCCTCTTTGAAGATGGTTGAAATAAAAAATTAAAAAAATATATACCCACTCTGACCCAAGACCCCTGTTACGCGCCTGGTGTTAGCGCCAATGTGTGCCCTTGTTTGGACAGGAGATGTACCCCTCTCTGAAACTGGAAACCTTGTTTTTGCAAAATAAATTGATGCAATTTGCTATTATAGGCCTAATCAATAAATTCCTCATCAACCGATATAACCTTAAACATTCTTCGAATTGACATAACATTACTGATGTCGTACACACCCTTCAGTGTGAAATGTGGCTCTCTTTGCAAGCACATCTAACATCTAAGGAAAGAAGAGTTTAGATTGGTACCAGATAAAATAATTTTGTTATCAACATTAATACATTATGCTAATTTTCATCTTTGTAAGCGCATAAGACAGTGCAAATTATTTCTGTGACAGTCTTTTGAAGTGTGTAAAGTTCCATTTTATCCCATACATAGTCAAAATATTGGGGGGGGGGGATGATACAATGGACCATCACCCCTTGTCAAATATTGGGGGAATATATCCCCCATTCCCCCGGGATCCACGCCTATGAGAAGAGTATGATCAATGGAGTCAAAGCATTCAGATATGTCGAGAAAAAAGTTTCCATCCATTTATCTATAACTCGATGAAGGCAAGTGATGGTGGTGGTATTTTCTGAAGGCATATTGATCTACACTTATGAGATCATTTTCGTTTAGATAGTTAACTAATTGTTTTTGTATTTCTCTTTCAACAATTTTTGAAATATGGCAAACCACGGAGATGGGTTTATAGTTAGTCATTGTCTGCTTACAATAAACGAAGTCGAACCGTTCTGCAGTCGTTTTTGTGTCCTTGTTTTGAGAGTGATGACTAGCAGCGCGCGACAATAGTACTAAAATATTTAAAAAAGATGAACATGTGTTTATTATTATAGGCCTGTATTTAATATGTTTAGCAGAATCTTGTATTGAATGATTAATATTGAAATTAGGTCTGCATGCATGCATAGCTATAAATAACGACTTTCCATGTTGACTTCCAAGTCCTCCACAAAACAAAACATTTGTCGAAGAAACATCAATCACACCACAAATGAATTGTCGGCGAATTTCGGTGTCGGTGAATGTTCTTTCGATCAACTGTCTGTCGGCCAAACGTCCGTCGGCAAACTGGCATTCGGCTAAATGTCCTAGTACCGATGAATTCTAGGCTGTTTATACCTAGCACTACGACGCGCGCAGTCACTATTTCTTTAAACCTCCAGCACCTTCGCACCTTCATTCATTTTAGTCTGTATTTGATTTTACTATTTCGGATAGTAATTTTCTGGTAAGATTACAAAAAATGGAGGCGTACGCCCCTTGCCCTTCTAAATCCGCCACTTAACAAATCAAATTAGGGGACCAATGCCGCCACGGGATTGCAACTTGCAAGACTGAACGTGGACGCGAGGATACCTATACATTTTTGTATATTTGTTTATTTTTTATGTATATTTGTTTATTTTTTTTATATTAAAAGTTTACCTAGCATTGAAGGCTTATCATTCTTGAAAGAGACATTGGTTATACCCCGCCACACAATCTCATGAATATTTACCAACTGGGCCAGATAAGTACTCTTGTCATACTGTACTTTGTAACCTCTAAATTTTGCCGTGACAACTTAAAGTGGTCTTTATCTATTAATGGTTCAAATATCGTTACATTTACATTACGAGAAAAAAAAAATTGATAGTTGCCACCTTTGAAATGCACAAATGTGAAAGTCACAGATGAACAATTTGGATCGAAGTTCTAATGTCTGTCCAACGCAAGTACAAACAAATTACTAACTTTTAAATTCAACATAAATATTTATTTCTTCTAAAATAATTGGACTTCTTTTAACAATAAACAATACAAATAATACAGAGATTATAACATGGATCACTCAATTAGCAACATATAACACTTTATCACGGTTTTACCATCTGTGTAAATTCACGAAGGCCTAGGCTTATACAGTTTCGTGCGTCCAATGCACACTGCGCCCCATGGTAAGCTTAATAATATTGCTCGTCTCATGAACCTCACAGAATTGGTTGGCTATATGGGTTGACTCAATCGTATGGTGATAAATTTGAGTGATTCGAATTCTCGCGCTACTCATTTTATATGACTGGCTGGCAACGGATTAATTTACGCATAATTATATGCAAATTTATCAACAATGCAACAACCTTTTCTCATGGACTATGGACTTTTATTCGGTAAGTGGAGTAGCATACTATTTAAATATTAAGGCAATACGCATCTGGTAGGATAAAATATGAGGCTCTAATGTGACAACTGTATATTTTTGTACTTAGCATTACTTTAGCATTGGTCGCTATGTACCGGTACTTCATTTCCAATAGAAAGCTCGTTGTGTCGACGATCATCGCTGGAACATGCTTTTACGTAAGTGTGTGCTGTTGTAGGCCCACTAACTTCTTAAATTTTGCTCAGACGACAATTTGGCATTGACCTAGTCTTAATATGTAATGATTCTGCAATCTGCGCACTTATTTTCGTAGCGATTTTCCGCACAAATGTTAGCTAATGTTTTTCATCCGCGCAATTAAAATTATTTATAATATGGGCGTTCGCCCAAACTTGAACATTGCCATTATTGAGATTATTTTTTCCCGTGTACAGGATTCTAAGGACTACATGTTAGTTATCTCATTGATAACGCAATGATACTAATTCTGGGATGTCTGTGTCATGTTCATAAAGCCATAGGATTGATGTTGGTGACTCCAATGCCGGTTGCGATTTTGCTTACAATAAGCTGCGCTACGAGACTTATGCTACGATATCATACGTTTTTTTTTTTGTTTTTTTTTTTTGCTAGGTTATTTACAATGTTATATAATTATTTTCTTGAATGTTATTTCATTTTCTCTACAAAACGCAAAATTTCTTACGCTGGCACTGATATGATTTTGAAAAAAAATTGCTCGCGGTTTCCCCATCTATAACATTTAGAATTTGCCGAGGGATTCGAACTCACAACCTTTCGCCATTTAAAAATCATATTTTTAGAGTGAGCCTTCTAGCGTCTCCTGAAAGGCCCGCTGGCATTATTTTTCCCATACAGTTAAGGCAGAAATTATAGAGGGCGCTATTTAAGGTCAGGTAAGTGAACTGATAAACATGAATATGCATGCATGACTTCCCCCTCCTGAAAGCGGTGTTCGAGCTGCTTGTGGATGAAAGGCATATAAAGTCTACTACGTCGTACAGTATGCCAGTATCTCTTGATAGAGACAGTTTAGTCGACACAGTGAAAATTCATGGACTATTGTAATTATAATATCCCTATGCAGACAAGTATGATAGTATAAAAAGCTGCGTTGTTGAATCTGTTTATTGGTGATGGTGGTCTGCATTTAGCGGATCACCTCTTGTTATTACCAGGATTTTTTGGTAATCCGCAGTTAGCGAAACACCTTGATGTTATTGTCAGGATTATTTTTTTTTTAATTCTTCTTGCTTTCTTTCCATTTTTGTTAGTATGATATCTTAAAATTGCTATGTGGTATTAACATGAAAATGTCCACAAGCTTTTGAATGTGATCAGCCATGCGTGACGTCATCTACGTCATCAATTTTGCGTTTTTTAATGACACGCTCGTCAAAATCACTTTTTGACTAAATTAAAGCACGTTTCATGCCATTTTCAGCATTTAAATTTTTTTATTCAAAAAAAAAAAAAAAAAAAAAAAAAAAAAAAAAAAAAATCATTTTTTTTTTTTACATATTTTGGGTTCCTGACACTTTATTCACAAATTTCCAATAACAATGCCGTGCGCGCATCATACATACAAATACGTGCGCGCTTTTGTGTCGACATATATTGAAAATATATCTAAGTAACAACTCCCTGCATAGATATATAGCAAGCAGATATACTATAAAAACAATTGAACATTGAATAGCTCATTTAAAACGATCAAAAACAGATGGACATAAACTATTAGTTTTACTGATTTACATGCATTTCTACAAAAAATAACTGTATCCGAAGTAATTCGTTGTCTCCGAGCATTTCTAAACGTTTATATCCTTCAGAATTAGTACTAATGAGAATAAAATTGCCACAACGCTTGCCATTATTGGCCTATACTCAAATTGCCAGATTCAGTATGCTTTTTTATACTTTCAAAAACCATGCTGTACATAAATGTGCATAGTCATAGGGATATTAATTACAATACATAGTCCATTAATTTTCACACTGTCTTGACTACCAAGGCCTAGTACTTGGTAGAGTAGAGATGCTGTCTCACTAAGCGTTCGTCTACGCTAAGCATTGCAGCTTACTCGACACCATTAGACACTGCTTTTGTGAGGGGGGAGGTCAGGTATGCAGCTAGGAACTCATTAGTAAACTAGAGCAGTCACTCCGTAAATGTATACCTCTGCCCTGTATGCCGGGATAAATAAACAAAAACTTTGTTTTGTGTATGAGCAATTCCATTATTTTGTTTTATACTTGAGGGTAAGCTTAGTTCAAGAGAGCAAAATTGAATTTCCGTGATTTTAAATACAGTTTCCCCTTGAAATTGTGTTTATTTGACAAAAACTCAAAAACTGTGCCTGTTCTTTAATAGCAGTTGGGTGTAGTGTTAAAAGATTATATTTCCCCTCGTTTTACAAAAAGTGCCCCTTTAACAACGGTTAACCCAAATGAGGAGTTCTACTATAATATGTAGGACTATAGAAAAACATACACCTATATACATTATAATATACATGAATTGTAATGATAATTTTTTTTCCCTTATGAATTAATCATTTAGTTCTTGCAGATCTCATTCTGGGCTTATACTTTTGAAGACTATAAACCAATCGGGATACTGTACAATTTAGTGAAGGTAAAATTAAGAGACGTCAATGGTGTTTAAACCCGACTCACTGACTCTCAAAAAGACCACTAACCAGTAAAAGTATTTACTTCTAATTGTGATACACAAGAAAATACACTGGCCTTTCCGTAATGCCAATCAAACTTAACTGACTAATCAGTGGAGGTGGGGGAAGAAAAAAGTATATGTATTTTTAATAATAGACTTTAAAATCGAGTAAATAAACCTATGAAACCAAAATTTAAATTTATATAGCGAACATTTCTACAACATACATCGTAATCAGCGGCGCTTTACATGGTCTGTCCCTGGTCATTGGATCCATATGCTAAGTGTTGCTGCTGTATTCAGCGCAAGAGCAAGGAACCCCACCAGGTACCCATATATACTCCTGGGTGGAGAGTAAGCAATGCAGATAAAGTGCCTTGCTCAAGGACACAAAGCGGAATGCACAGCAAGGGATTGAAACCCCGACCTCGAGGTTGAGAAACCAAACCTTTCACGCAATTAAATAAATCTATGAAACCCCTAATTAGTAGTTTCTGGGGCTTCCCCCTGGACCACTTCAGATGAATATTGAGCGCCCGACCACAACCACTAATTTTCTCGTCGGAAAGTTCGCTTCCCTGTCGGGGACATCGGACCCCTTTGGGCAAATCCTGGCGCCACCCCTGGTACAGAAACTTTCTAATTTTTATATTTTTTATGCAAATTGTTGTCTTTATAAACTTGGTTTTCAAGTTAAATATTAACGAATTGTAGCCTAATTTAACATGAATTTTACGTCAAATCAAAATGAAATCAAACATATTTATTTTCTTCTTTCTTATATTAGAACCATAAAATATAACAAAATAATTGTACTTTTCTACGTAATGTGAAAATGAGTTCAAATTAATTTTAATAGGCCACAGTGTTAGTTACGTGAATTAAGGCCTGTGTGCGTGAGCTTCACTATAAAAATAAGCTGATTCATTATTAGTATATCATTTTGTTTTTACTTTCTTTCAAGAACTCTACAACATTCACAACGAATATACGCACTTTAAGCAACAGTAACTATAAGCCTTCACGTGATTATACAGACAATTGTACTGAATGGACAAATAAAGATTACAACAGAAGTTTAACAGTACGACTACATTGCTATGAATTTAATAAAAGGAGAGAAGGAATCTTAAATATACAAAAAGAGGAGAGCGAAGTATTTTTTGTTTCTTATATTAATCAATCATTACAATATGGAAGAGATATATGCGTGAGGCTTGATTCTTACGTTTTGAACGGTACAACTGTAAAGCCAACGAACGGAGGAGATTTCTTTTTTGCGATTTCCAACAGTATACGCGTTGGAAAAGAGAATTTCAGCACGGCCGGAAAGGTAATTGACCATTTAAATGGTTCCTACTCTTTTTATTTTGCGGCCGCATGGTCAGGTCCTACAAACATCTCTATCTTAAGGGTCCACTCTTCTGAAGCAGTTGAATGGATCAGGGAGATAATGTGGAAAGTAAAAAGGAGAGTATTCTGGACAGGGATTTACAAATGTCAACAGAATCACAAAGAGGAATCACTCTGTTATGTTGATAGACAAAACACTAACAATGCCAATTCTAGTAAGTTGTGTTTGTATCGTAATGTAGAAGCGCTTGGTAAAACAACATTAACTTGTCAAAAACCAGCAATATGTAACTGTAGCCAGTTGTCATCACACAAAGCAGCTCAGAAAAAAATCCTCGAAAGAGCACAGTCTTTTCTGAAGAACAGAATGAACCTCTTTAAAGGGTAAGTTTTTTGTTGTTTTTTTTTTTTGGTATTCCTACTTAAATCCCTTTATTTTCGCGCGTCCTTTTCTTGATGCCTTCAAATAATGTTCAAAGCAAATCTCCTAGCTAAAAATATTTCGTTATTAGAAGGTTATACTAATGTTACAGGGTTGAAAACGTTATATTTAGAACTATAAATACGTACTTACAACGTAATTTCACTACTAAATAACGTTTGAACGTTGCTTCAACTTTGTGTGAAGATTGTTGGGTGACATACCTACCACAACGTCCGAGAACGTTACAATGAAGTGTTTTGTTTGCTTTGTTGTAGAGGGTCACGATAGCTAGTATTCCACTTATATTCTCTCAAAGGTTTCCTGGAAATTCATCAGTTGTAAATGATAAAAACTATCATCTCATATTATGCCATCTCATATTATGTTTGTTCACTCTCGCAGGTTGAAAACTCTGCTGGTTATAATTATTTGCAACACGTCC